AGCATAATTTTGAGTTCATAAGTTGTGCACATTTGTAAGATTACACATATGGCCCAGTGGGAGATTGTTGGATATTTTCAACATATATGGGGTCACACGTTGTATATTAAAATGTATGATGCTATTATTTAAAAGATATTGGTCAATTAAAGTGATCCGTTAAAGATGTATTGTGACTAATGGGTATTAGATTTCATGGAATTATAGTGTAGAGAACAGAGTGTTGTTTTAAATTGATAAGGGACCAATTTGAAGCAACTGAAAGATAGTGACTATTCAGTTACTATTATTATTTTATATGGTTATTGTTCTCATTTATTGGTGTTCTTGAGATTCTCTACATCCTCATCGACAGAGAGCGAAATTGAAGTGAAGACCACCAATCAATTGGAAGATCATAAACCATCAAGACAAAGAATCAGATTACTATGGATATAGGTATGTTTTATTTAATTGTTTTCTCGAATTTCATCATGGAGTAAGAAATTAGGGTTCACATGACAAAAGGATCTGTTGAAAGGATATGGATTGAATCGATAATCCTTTCTCGATTTTCTATCAAGTGGTATCAGAGCCTCTCCATAGTTGAAATTTTTGAGAATTTAAAGATTTAAAATTCTGAATTTTTTGAGTTATTTGATCTTCATTTTATTTTATGAAATCGAGCATGTTATAATATGGTTTTTTGATATGGATATAGATTTTCTTTCAAAATTCGAATTTTTAGTAATATTGAGATTTTCAGATCTGATTTAAAAAAAAAAAAAAAAAAAAATCTGTGGCAACCATGTCGGCGGCAGCTTGGACTGCCACTGCTGTAACAGCAGCGTCGATCGCTGCTGGCGAGAAGGGGGGCTACCGTCCTGTTGGCTTGGCGGCGCCAGGAGGAGAAGAAGGGGCATTAATTTTCAGTTTTTTTAGTTATGGAATTTTAGTGTCATGCTCCATACTCAGCAACCATCATGAAGTGAAGCATCACTTCCTGTTGCTAGTCAGTCGCTTGAGCGATAGGCGAGTTATGGAGTCAGGCATTTATCTCATTCATCCAGAATTGATTTTGTGATTCCATATATAGCACGACGATCTACTCGATAAGTAGAACAAGTTATTCTATTTATATATATAATTTGATTATCGAATCAAGTTCGAATATTTGATTGAAGTTGACACAAAGTCATTTTTTAAGTTATATACTTAACTAAAATTTTCATTCTCTAAATTAAATTCTAACGATAATAATCTATAAAAAGACTCACCAAATATAAATTTTTATCTCTTCGTTTAAATTACGTGGCTGTGGTCAACAATTGCATTATTTTTATCTCTCAGTTTTCTCTCTGCTGCATTATTGCTTTAATTGGCTCATAAGAAAGTTACAAATGTTGGAAATAAATGATTAATCAATAACCACTAGAGATTCCCGAATCAATTTTTTATGCTTATAGAGAGTATGAATACCCACACATCAAATCATATAATCCACGCTAAATTCGCCAAAACATGCTCTTAATATATAGTCATATGGGACAACTCTAGCATGTGAAGTGACATTTTATTTCTTTATTAAAATGGTATACAATTAAACAAAGAATACAATTAAACAAAGTATAAAATGTGAACAAGCAAGACTTTTTTTAATCACAAGTACAGATACTATAATTGATGAAGTTTACACTCACAACTTTAAAAGACTTAGAGGGTGTTTGGTATAGATTAAAATCAGATTTTAAGTGTATTGTGATAGAAGTTTTTGAAATGTGTGGTTGAAAAGATGTGGGATCCATGAAAGATGTGGTTGATATTAATTGTTTGACTTTGACTTAGATTAAAATCAGATTAAAATGCACAAACATGCCTAGCAAAGTCAACAATAAAATTTCAAAAAAAAAAAAAAAAACAATTATTGTGCCAAACCAACCATGTAAGAACGACTTCAATTTTAGAATGCTATAATCTCTTCTCTGAAATCACCAATTGATAAAATTAAATGCTGAAAATTTAGATTACATGAAATTACAGATAGCATATAATATTTTAAATCTACATTCATAGTACTTTCCTTATGAATCCTTTGGGAAAACATGTTACATTATTAAGGGATAGAATTCCACATCGAATAAAGATGTAAACATAAACAAATTTATAAAGGATTGGGTTACTCCTCTTAATAAGGTTGTCCTTTTAAGATGGAACCCCAAATTCTTAACATGGTATTAGAGCTCATTAAACTCTAACGAGCAATTCGATTCGATTAAGACTCCTAAAGTGAGCATACAGATTTCAAAATTGATCTGCTCAAACAAGCCATCATCTTGCTGTGGCATATTAAGGGATACAATCCCAACATAAACCAATTTATAAAGGATTGAGTTACTCCTCTTAATAATGTTGACCTTTTAAGATGGAATCACAATTCTTAACATACATGAAGGGGAAAAAAAATCAGCTTAATATTTAGTCCAAGGAAATTCCATTACTTAACTTTCAAATACTGCTTGGTATACTAAGGATATATGAATAACCCATCTTGTAAGAGGCACTTCTTTTATTTGACTTCTCCCTTTAATTAAAGTAGTCTAAAATGAATTAATGATTGCGATCCCTCCAAAAGAAGTTTTAATCACAAGCAGATAATATTGCAATTGATAAAACTATTAAACATAGTGTATTCTATTATTCAATATCAAGTAAAGATTACAAAGCGACTGTATAAAGTGTATAAACCTTAAAACCGTAAACAACATAAAAGACAAACTATCAAGAAACTGAAAATCAATTATTCCTGACACTCCATCAAACTCTCCATGTTGCCGAAAGGAAATAGGAGTTAAAAATAAGGTACGACTTCGTTCAATCTACCAATAGAGTAACTCATCAATGTAAAAATCGATTTAATAATGTAAAATTTCTCAACTCTTCTAGGAATAACCGTTCGGTGTGGCCCGATTTCTTTGTTAAAGATAATTGAGAGTTCTAATTAAAGTGCACATTAAGAAAAAATCTATTTAGAATGCTGTTGTTGAATCCTATTCAAGTTTACTTGACAAATTCTAATTGAAATTCTAGTTGGAAGCTCAATTGAGAGTTGAAATTTATGTTGGACTTGAAGAAGACTTTAAAATGAAAAAAAAATATTTTGGAAAGTATTTGAGATGGAGACGAGCCGCCTAGGCACCGACAANAAAAAAAAAAAAAAAAAACAATTATTGTGCCAAACCAACCATGTAAGAACAACTTCAATTTTAGAATGCTATAATCTCTTCTCTGAAATCACCAATTGATAAAATTAAATGCTGAAAATTTAGATTACATGAAATTACAGATAGCATATAATATTTTAAATCTACATTCATAGCACTTTCCTTATGAATCCTTTGGGAAAACATGCTACATTATTAAGGGATAGAATTCCACATCGAATAAAGATGTAAACATAAACAAATTTATAAAGGATTGGGTTACTCCTCTTAATAAGGTTGTCCTTTTAAGATGGAACCCCAAATTCTTAACATGGTATTAGAGCTCATTAAACTCTAACGAGCAACTCGATCCGATTAAGACTCCAAAAATGAGCATACGGATTTCAAAATTGGTCTGCTCAAACAAGCCATCATCTTGCTGGGGCATATTAAGGGATACAATCCCACATCGAATAAAGATATAAACATAAACCAATTTATAAAGGATTGAGTTACTCCTCTTAATAATGTTGACCTTTTAAGATGGAACCACAATTCTTAACATACATGAAGGGGAAAAAAACTCAGCTTTCCAACGACTTAACTTTCAAATACTGCTTGGTATACTAAGGATATATGAATAACCCATCTTGTAAGAGGCACTTCTTTTATTTGACT